GCTGTGGCGTGCGCGTGTACCGAATGTCCCCAGCACTGAGGGACTTGAAAGTAACGGGGGAAAAGCCAAGGGGAGGGCTCACGTCGATCCACTGCTTTATATAAAGTGTGTGTGGTGCTGGTGGGAAGCAGTCGGGAACACCTGAAGCTAGCCCCCGCGAGAGGCCAAGGCTGTGCCCCCCAGCACTGCTCCGGAGCTCTGAACAGCACGGAGGATGGAGCCCAGGTCTGAGATCAGTGACATGCCGCCACTGCCAGTGTGTCCCCGGAGACTGCACAGCTGCTCTTTCAGAGGTGCTCTCCTTTTCCTCCTTCTCCTATGTGAGATTTCGAGCCACTTTCAGTGGGAAACATTCGTGCTGTTCCCATTTAAAGTGTCATTTTTGAGCTCTTCAGTTCCAACAGCACAAAATTGCATTTTCAGTTCAAACAAAAGGAAGAGACTTGTTTTGACACATGTGGCAGAGAGAATGGTATTTTTTTCTTTGGAATTGATGGGCTTTTTTTGTCACGAGAACTATTAGTGTAGACAACTGGGTAGCACTGCATGGGCAGGCTCTCCATGGGAGCGCAAAAGCTGGAGCGAAGCCCAGGGCAACTCCGCTGTCCTGGTTCACGCCTGGTTCGACATGTGTTGTGGCCCCCGCGCAGCCAGGTGACTTGCTTTGCTCTCCCCGCCCAGGGCTTGGTCCCTTCCTGCAGCCCTTAGCAGCAGCTGGAGGAAACGTTCATCCTCAGCTAGAATTAATGATGCTGCAGCCGAGTGCAGATGGTTCCCCAGGCCCTGCACCCCAAGCCTTGCTCTCTCACCTCCCTGCTGCTTCCCCCTCCATCTTCCTATGGACTGGAAAAAGCTCCAGCCTGTTCCTCGGGCAGGAGGGAGCGTGGGCAGCATCGCCTGGCCAAACGGCATCGCTTCGGCAGGCAGTGAGCTGTGGTTTCATGCTGTATCTCAGCTCCTTGCTGAGATCCAGAACCGTGCTTCGGTTTCCCTCCGTGTGGAGGGCAACACACACCTACTGCAAAGGGCTGGAAGGATGAGCTCCTTCATCAGGCTGTGTGCTGCAGTGCTAGGGTCATGCTAAGAAATACTTAACGAAACACTTAACACGCTGGTTTCTGGGCAGCAGCAAGGACCAGTTTAATAGCTGTGAAGCTCTGCTGCCTGGCTGCAGGAACTGTGAAGCATGAAGGATTTGGGTTTGGGATCCCCTGGAGCCATGTGCCAACCCCAGCAGCCACAAATTGTGGACGCATCCAAACTGCTCTTTGAAAGCCTCGTGGTGAGGCTCATGTGCCGACCTGTGCCCCTCGCTCCTGGGCCTGGCAGGACCAAGGTGGCCGCGCTGTGCCAGCTTGCCAGGCCCCATCTCAGGGTGGCTCCTGTCCCCGCAGTGTGTCCGCCTGCAAGCTGACAGACGAGGCCTGCTTCATCCTTTACGAGTTCTGGCAGGACGTGACTTCGTGGAGAAGGTTGGAGCCTTTTCTTGTGCGGGGCTGGGTCCCGATGCTCGGGTGGGGGGTGGGCTGAAAGGGGTCTGCTGTCGGGGCTCCACCAGG